GGTAGCTGTCGTACCCGCGTCTGCGATGGGAATTAGAAATTATTTATTATTTGAGTTTTTGTTTAAATTATGAGAGAGAGAGAGAGAGAGAGAGAGAGAGAGAGTGAGTGAGTGAGTGAGAGATTACTTTATTCGCAATTATGGTAACATTTGCTCAAGTATTGGGTATAAAATCAAAACTTTTAAAATTTAATTTAAATGTTTTTTGTATAGAAATGTGGGTTTTATATGTGTAGCGCACATGTGGCGCTAATTTTACACAAAATTAGTAAAAATAGCTTGGCAAACTAAAATGTACATATCACGAAACTATTCTAGGCTCATTATGACACTATTAAACGTACATGTTCACTATTACCGGAAACAAGTTGTAGAAATTACCAGTACAGTAAAAATATAAATAATAATTAATATCTCAATAAATGGCTAAAAACTTATACATACCATCAGTAGGACTGTCATCACTTGGGGCCGACTCTGAGTCAGTGGGCTCAGTAGCCGTCGAATCGGTATCATCCGAGTCCTCCAGTTCCTGACCTTTACATACAAATAATTGGTTATATTTTTATAAATAAATTATTTTTGTACACAAAACTTACATTTAATGACAGTCACACCGATGAACAGTATTACAGTAATATACAGTAAACTTTTCATAATTTATTTGTAGATTAACTAAGTTTTGCACAAAAAAAGGTTTAAAAAGTTATATAAAACTTGAAAAAAGTTTTGAAAATATAGTTTAGATATGATTATGAACTGATTGCTAAACTTATCCCAGACTGCTATTTATATATGATTTTGACAAGCAACTTTTGTTTTCTATTTACGATTACATCAAACGATGCAAACGTACGTCAGTTTTGGGCCCCATTTAGTACATCACACAAAAAGTGGATATTCTTTGCAAACTTAATTATAGTGTATATTATATAAGGTGTGTGTAAAAAGTTTTTGGTACATAAGTCCTGGTAAATGNTATTCTTTGCAAACTTAATTATAGTGTATATTATATAAGGTGTGTGTAAAAAGTTTTTGGTACATAAGTCCTGGTAAATGGTAAATGAGTTTTGAGTTTCAATGTTAGAGAGAGAGAGAGAGAGTGAGAGAGTACAGGTATCACTTGAGGCCATTATGTCATTGAGAGTACATTTCATACGAAACCACTCGATATGTTTTTATCACTAATACCTATAATACTATAATTTATACGAAAATGCACTGAATATTGGTGAATTATCTAAAAGGTTTCATGTTTTAAATTAGTTAAATTTAATAGGTTTTAAAATAATTTCTGTGATTGTAACCACAGTTTGCATGGAAGTCATATTTGATAAATATAGTAAAACTTTTAGTTTATTATGGATTTCTCT